AGACGAAGCCCCGGCTTGCCCACGACTTCTTCTAGCCGCACCTACAGGATGATGTAGGGCAGCGGGGTACAGCATGCCCTGAATGCTAAAGAGCTCAAGAGCGGAGGCCACCTAAGGCCCCTCTACAGCCAATGCCAGTAGTTGAGACTCCCTTCTCATGGGTGGCACTGGATATCGTAGCGCCCCTACCAAAGTCTCATGCAGGATACCAATACAAACTGGTCCTGGTGGACTATGCCACGTGATTCCCAGAAGCGGTGCCACTCAGATCCATTACAGCCCACTTAGATAGCAGAAGAGTTGCTAAAATGGATTGCCTGGTTAGACATACAGGAGGAGGGGTGGATGTCGTATACTTAGACTTCAGGAAGGCCTTCGATACGGTATCCCACCCCATACTGGTGAACAAGTTAAGAGGCTGTGACTTGGATGACTACACAGTCCGGTGGGTGGCGAATTGGTTGGAGGGTCGCACCCAGAGAGTTGTGGTGGATTGGTCGGTATCGACCTGGAAGGGTGTGGGAAGTGGGGTCCTGCAGGGCTCGGTCCTTGGACCGATACTCTTCAATGTCTTCATCTGACCCTGCCTTTGCATGTCTTGCCTTCTGTGCAAAGCCTAAGATGCAGGATGACCCCCTCTGTGTCCATGTGGGTTATACTGCAAAGGGTAGTGACTCCTTTCTTTTGTTCAGACCTGGGTATGAAGAAGAAACACTGAGTAATGGGAGTCTTAGGGTGTGGGAAGTGTGCCTGGGTAAGTTCAGAAGAGCATGTTACCACTTGCTGGGGGTAAGAGCAGTTCTGAGAATAAGCGGGAGAGGACTAGGTCCCTTTACACCTGCATGTGTTCCAAATATGATGTCTCCTTTTTGTTTGACCAATGCCCAGGCTGCCTGAGCTAAGAAGGGGCCAAAACTAGTGCATAAAAGCCTCCAAGAGCTACTTGGGTGCAACTATGGGTTCCTTACGCAGCTGATGCTCCAAGCCTATCCCTACATTTAGTGCCATGATTCACTTCAGTGACCACGAGAAGGAGCTCATCACCAGCCTGTGGGGCCAGGCTGATGTGGAGAACATTTGTTCTGATTCCCTCATCAGGTAGGTCCAGACCCAGGGCACAAGCAGAGTTAGCACCTCCTGGGGAAGCTTCTGCCTCCCACCACTCTCACCAGAGATGTTGCTTCCTTTAGCCTATGCTTCTCACTTGTTCTCTCTAGGCTGTTGATGGTCTACCCTTGGACCCGGAGATATTTCCATCACTTTGTTAACACCCATGATGCCCAGGCCATCATCCACAATCTACAAGTCAAGTCTCAGGGCAAGAAAGTGCTCCATGAATTTGGGGAAGCTGTGAAGCACCTGGACAACATCTAGGACTGCTTTGCCACCCTGAGCAAGCTGCACTGTGAGAAGCTGCACGTGGACCCCAACAGCTTCAAGATGAGGGATGCTTATGGCTTTTCTTCCTGAGAATTGGAAAGAGATGGCTCTAGGGAGCCGGTAAACCAGCTTAGGGTAGGTATCATGCACCTCCTCATAGCTCCTGAGACAGGGACCTCTGTTTGGGGTGGAAAGGTGAGTTCAAAATGAGTGGACAGGAGGTTTGGGATAGCTGAGCGTGAGGCAGAGGGCAGCTGGGGAAGGTGCATTCAGAGTAAGCAGAACATAGGGAGTGTGCATGGTGAATATCATGGGATGGAGCCTCTGAAGTGGGGGAAAAGGTGCAGGAGGAAAGACAACAAGGTAAGCAGAGGCTGAGAGAGGGGTGGAGGAGTCAGTGAGAAAGGGGAAGGCAGCAGAGAGGGTTAGCAAGCAGTTAAAACAGGTGCAGCAGGGACTTCTGTGAAAGCAAAGTGAAAGCAGTCTCTGGGCAGGAAACAGGAGAGGGGGTTAGTGAAGGAAGGGAGAAAGGGAAGGACTGGAGACGGGTGAGGAGATGGAGACACCAGGCCCTGTCATGTAGGGAACCGGCCTGATCTCTGAAGTTCAGGCATCCCTGGGGAGGGTCTGGCTGCTTAGGGTCCTGCTGGCCTGTGTCTAGCTCTGACAAAGCCACAGAGCAGCTGCCGGCTTCACCACTAGCTAGATAATCCCTGGAGTTAATGTACTCTACATCCACCTTGGGATTTCCTGGGGTCACCTTGGGAAACCACCATGTAAAACCCACCCTAAATCCCATTTCTGAGGTGAGGATTTCCAGGACTTGACCTCTTTCCTGGAAAGGGAATGAAAAGGGAGCTGAAGTGGGGTGAAAGGAGGCTGAAGGGAAATCTATTTACCATCTCTGGCCCGGGGAGATCCCTCTTGGTAGCGGGCCTGTTGCCAGCAGGAACTCGATTTCCCAGTGGTGAGGCAATATGGTGCCAGGTTTGGGGTGTGAACTGCCTGGGTCCGGGGATTGGGATGGGGACAAATTTACCTCCCCTCTGAGGAAATGTGCTTAATTCAGTTAGTGGACCTTCCCCATTCATTTGCACAGAAACTCACACTCCAAGCACTCACTTGTCGCCAGGACTGACTGAGTCAGGGCTATTCTTTTTTCCTTCTCCCATTCCAGCTCCTGCGAGACATCATCGTACTAAGCCTGGCTGCCCACCACCCCCACAACTTCACTGTGGAGGTCCACGCCGCCTACCAGAAGCAGGTGAGGGCAGTGGTTGAAGCTCTGTCCCCTGAGTACCACTAAACTCAGATGGTTTCTGATGGGCTGTAATAATTGAATAAACACCAGTTTATGATAATCTGTTATGAGTCTCCTATCTCTCTGGGTGCTCGGGACAGCCGGGGTTGTAGTGGAGGAGGAGACTGGAGCTGTGGGGTGGTTCTTGAGAAGGACTGCAAGACTCAAATAGGAGTCAGTTGTGCTAGGGACAGGCAAAGCATCCTTTCTCCACTTTGGAAAAGAGGTAGGCAGTCTTAAATCATTGGCCCACCCATACCTAACTCCTCCAGCCTTAGAGCAGAGACTCCTGGCAAGAGAAAAAACACCTCATCCACTCCCTTCCCTCCTATTATGATGGGACTGGGGTGCTCAGCACCAGTTATACCTGTGATACCTGTGCGGGTGAGGGAGGGAGAATTTCCTCTGCAGCACATACCTCCATGCCCCAGACCCTCATCCCCTTCACCCCACACACACATTAAACACTGCCAAGACGTGCAGAGGGGCCCAAGAACGTTAGCACTCGCCGGGGCCAAGAGCTGTTCTGAGAACAAACAGGGAAGGAGCAGCTCTCTTTACACCTGGCCACGGTCCAAGAATGGTTTCTCCTCCCACTTGGCTGCAGCCCTCCCCAAAACATGACCAATCCCCAAGCTGCCTGAGGTGAGGAGGGGCCAGACTACTGCATAAAAACCCCTGAAAGGTGCTTGGCCTCAGCTACGGGTTCCTTACCCAGCTGATGCTCTAAGACAACTCCAGGACTCCTCACTATGGCATCCTTCAATGCCCACGAGAAGAAATTAATTGTTGAGCTGTGGGCCAAGGTCGATGTGGCCCAATGCGGTGCTGACGCCCTCAGCAGGTAAGTCCAGACCCAGGACATGAGCTGAGCTGGCACCTCCTGGGGAAGCTGCTGCCTCCACAGGGATGTGGCATTCACCAGGTTTGTGTCTCTGCTTGTGTCTCCCTTTGCCTAGGATGCTGATTGTCTACCCCTGGAAGAGGAGGTATTTTGAACATTTTGGAAAAATGTGCAATGCCCACGACATCCTGCACAATTCAAAAGTCCAGGAACATGGCAAGAAGGTGCTGGCCTCCTTTGGGGAAGCCGTGAAGCACCTGGACAACATCAAGGGCCACTTCGCCAACCTGAGCAAGCTGCACTGCGAAAAGTTTCATGTGGATCCCGAGAACTTCAAGGTGAGCGGTGTGCATGGCTTGCTTGCAGGCTGGGATGGATGGGCATTCATGAGAGATCATTCAGGGAGCTGGTAATTAATTAAGAAATGCACATGAAATACCTCCTGGTGCCCCCTGAGACAGGGACTCTCTTTCAGGGGGGGAAGGTATGTTCCAGGTAGGTGGCCAGGAGACTTGGGGCAGTTCAGCCAGAGGCAGGAGATGACAGGAGGCAAAGCACGCCTGAAGGAAGTTTTGTTCAGAGTAATCAGAGTGTGCAGAGTGTGTGGAGATGGAAATATCCATGAAGGCAGCGGAACAGAGAATGAAGAGAGCAGCCCAAGGTGGAGAGGTAGGAGGAGAAGAGAGAGGAAGGGGGTAGGGGTGCAATGCAGTTAATGCAAGCTCTGTCAGGAAGTAAAGCAAAAGCAGAGGAGGGGAGTGAAACCAGGCGGGAAAGGATCAGAGAGGAGATGTCCAACATCATGCCGTGCTTTGGAGCTTGCGCTGGCTTAATTTTAGAAAGAGGAAGGTGGACGCAGGTTCCCTTCCTCCGGAGGAAACGTGCTGAATTCAGCTGGTGGCATCAACCCCCACTTTGGGCTCTGTGAGCTCCTCCCCAGGACTGCTGAGCCTCTTCCCCCAGGGCTAATCTCTGCAACGTGTGGGGCGGGAGGTTGCAAATTTGGGCTGACTCCGGGCTCTTTTCTCCTCCTTCTCCTCCCAGCTCCTGGGCGACATCATCATCATTGTCCTGGCTGCCCACCACCCCGATGACTTCAGTATGGAGTGCCACGCCGCCTTCCAGAAGCTGGTGCGCCAGGTGGCTGCTGCCTTGGCTGCTGAATACCACTAAACGTGCCAGAGGGAAGCACACCACAAAAAGATGCTGCTTCCTCCTGGGCACCGCTGGGTGCTCTGTGGGCTCCACTGGGCTGTAATCATCAAATAAAACCCATGCATAACCATCTGTGATGAGTCTCTGGGTGTTTGTGGGGGCTTGGGAGGAACTGGGAGAGGGCTGGTGTGCATGAGGGTCCTGGGCAGCCTGAATGTTGCACTCATTCCCCAGGACAGCGGGAGGGAAGATTCAGACCCGTCACTGCTGAAAGCACATGGGAACACGTGCGGGGATACACACACACATGCAAACACACGCTGCTCATAGAATCAAAAAGGCAGCTAAAGGGGGCATCAGAAAACAACCCAGCAGACAGCAGGTTTGTGCATGGACCTGCTGTTTCAGTCACACATAACAGGCCTATCCCCTCTCACCATCCTTCCCTCCGGAGGAAGCTAAGAGACCCTCTGCCACCCCCTGCTCTCCCTCCAAATGGTGTTGGGATATGAGCATGCTCTAGAAGGTATTTAGCAGGTTGAGGGGCATTCATCTTCTCCCCCCAGTTTTACCCTACAAAACCTACTCATATCACAAGCTCAGCGCTGGAGCTGCAAGACACGGACACTTGCACTGCGCAGGGAGTTGATGTGCTCTCCCCCAGGGCCGGAAAAAAGTGTACATTGCACGGCTACTGCAGAAACAGCACCTCCTGATGAAGGCAAATGCAAAGACATCCAGAAGCCATTCTCCATGGTAGCGGGATGATCCCCTGGTGCCTAGTCTCACAGGAGTCTCCCAACTGGCATCATAATATTAATAACTGGTGGTGAAAAGAGCTGGGGGCTCAAAGCGAGTCTGCCTGCATTCACAACTGTATGCTAACGGGTATAACAGCTGCGCGTGTGATAAATCGTGGAGGATAGGGGCTCCTTAGCCCTGGACTGTATCCGAGTATGCTATCTCCTCCCATGCAGCCGGGGTCCCTTCCTAGAAAAGACTCAAAACCTGTTACCAAAGATTAGGAGGAGCTGGGGTTAGCATATCTGAGTCCCCGAGGGGGTATTTGGCTATTGGTTCCTTACACGGCTGACACCCCAAAACTGCCCCTTATTTTTTACCATGCTGCAAGGGTCCAGGGAAGAGAAGTCGCTCTTTACTGGCCTGTGGAGCAAGGTTGATATGTCCAGAGGCAGTGCTGAGGCCTCCTCCATTTCAGGAGCTGGTGCCTTCTGGGGAAGCTGCCGCCTCGTGGGGGATGATGCCTTCAGCTTGCCTGCATTTCTGCTTGCATCTGCCACTTTCTCGGCCAATAGTTATCCCCCTTTTTGAGGGCCTTTTCAGAGCCCTAAATGCTTTCAAATGGAGGTGCAGACTCCTTTGAGTGGTAAGTGTAGGTATTCACATGCTTTTGATTGATCGTATTCATACCCTTTACACCTAGTTTGCAGACCCCCAGGAGTCCTGGGACCACAGGTTGAAAACCAGGCTGTGATCATCCACCCCTGGACACAGACTTCTGGTCCAGATGTTTGATCATCTCCCCCTGGGCCCAGAGGGATGTTGCTAGCTTTGGTGACTTCTGCAACCCCACTGTGGCCAAAAACCACCATGGTCTGTGACTATGGCAAAAAGGTGCTCTCTTCTTTCAGGGAAGCTGGAAAGCCTGGATGGCATCAAGGGCTACATCACTGCCCTACACAAGCGACACCGGGAGAAGCTTTCTGTGGACCCCAAAGGCCTCAAGGCGAGCAATGCACCTGGGTTGTTTTCAGTCATTCATGAGGGACAGCTCAGGAGATTCGTGGTGTAGGTAAGAAAAATATTCTGATGGTTCTTGTGGCACAGATCGGTTTTGGAGGGGATGGGATAGCGAGTGCAGGATGAGTGGCTGAGAGGTGGGAGGCAGAGGGCGGCAGCAGGGGTGGAGGTGTGAGCAGGGTAACCGAAGCATAGGGAGATTGCAAAGTGGGAATATCTGGGCCCTGTCTGTGCTGTGGGCTCATGACCCAATTGCTAGCCTTGGAGGAGAAGGAAATATTGGCTGCCAGGCAGCCAAGGCCTGGCATGGATGCATTCAGCCCTGCACTGTCAAGTAACCAGGGGTCAGAGCTGCTTCTGCAAGCAAACAGCAGGGAGCGAAGGAGCTCCTTGCAGGGGGGAATGCATCCAAAACCACTATCTCCTCCCCTGCAGCACAGATCCCTCCCCAGGCACAAACCAGGGCCCTGGCGTCTGATTAGAAGTGGAGTTTATCGTGTCCTAAGTGCCGAGGGCGGTGGGGGATTTGGGCTGGGCGACCGGTCCCTTATGCAGCTGCAGCTCCAAAACAACCAGCTCGCTCCTCACCATGGGGCGCTGGACAGCAGAAGAGAAGAGGCTCATTACCAATCTCTGGCGCAAGATCTCGAGGGGGCCGAATGCGGGGCTCATGCCCTTGCCAGGTAGGGCATCCCTTCCATGATCCCCGGAGATGGGGAGCTCGAGGGTGGGGGCTCTGCTTGTGTCTCCCTCTTTCTAGGCTGCTGATCGTCTACCCCTGGACCAAGAAGTTTTTTCTTCACTTCGGGAACCTCTCCAGCCCTACCGCCATCATAAACAACCCCAAAGTGCGTGCCCATGGCAAGAAGGTGCTCACCTCCTTCGGGGAGGCTGTGAAGAACCTGGACAACGTCCATGCCCAGTTCTCCAACCTGAGCAAGCTGCACTGTGACAAGCTGCACGTGGACCCCGAAAACTTCCGGGTGAGTGAGGTTCACCCATCCAGTCCAGCTATAGACAGGCCGTGCATCCTCTAAAACTGGCAACGGGTCTGAGCTTTGGGATTAACTCTACAGGGACCCTGGTTTGGGACAGGGAATGCAGAGGCATGTTTAAGGTAAGCAAGCAGAGGGAAGCTGGGGTGCTGGAGGGGGATCATGGCATATCCAAGGCACCCCAATGGCATGGGGGGGGGTGCAGATTGGAGCATCCCTAAGATTGCAGCCTCAGGGGTGATGCACAGAGT